CATTATTATGCCTTTTATCCATTCAAATCTTTGTTCAAGGCTCTTTATTTTGTATCTAAAAATTGCCATTAGAGTATCTTCTAGTTTTATTAATTTACCACTTTTTGGTTTTTTTAATAGTACAAAAAAATAATATCTTTTGACAAGATTATCTTTATTTAAATCTTTATTAAAATATAATTATAAATTTTTAAATATTATAAAAAAAATTAAATGTCTTATTAAGAATTTAAAGAAATATATGTACTTCTCTTTCTTACTCTCATTCTCTCTCTCCTCCTCCCTCTCTCTATACATTTATATCTATCTGTAAAATTATTAAAGGTATTGAAATCATAATGTACTAGATGTTTGTTTCGATATTGTAGCAAATGAGTATAATTTGAAAAATAGAATTTAAACCAATTTTCTTATATTGATGATTGAAGTTTAAATTTTACTATATTCTTATATTTATTTGTCAATTTACAAATCACTCTAATAACTTTTAATTATGGTCTATCAAATAAGATATTATTATTTATATTAAATATTTTTTTCTATATTGCACAAAAATATATTTTATGAAAGATATAGTATATATTCATTTGAAGATTTCTAACTTAATATTTAAACAATTATGCCATTAGTTACTTTTAAATCAAGTGGAATTTGAAAAAATTCAATAGTTTTAAGAATATAAATTTTTAACTAGTAAAATATCAAATACTAGATGTACTATTTAGAAACATTATTATTACAATCATATTTCCTACTTAGAATATGAGTGACAATAGTAGTTGTAATTAAAGTTGCACATAGAATAATAATAAAAATAATAATACATATTTTTTTAATATAATTTTAAAAATTAAATAAATGCACAAAATTTATATAATTATCAGAAAATGTGAGTAGTTATTGAATAGTTATGATTATTAATTTTTAATACCGTTTGTAGTAATTTAATTATAATAATAGTATATATATTGTTTTTTTAGAAGTTATAAAATTTTAAAAAATATATAAATGAATAAATAAATAAATCCTTTGATGTTAGAAAAAATATCAAATAAAATTGGCTAAAAAACCTTATCATAAAATCTATAGATGAATAAAATTTAGGTCTAAAACATTTTTTTCTTTAATTTTTATTTTTATAGATGTAATTAAGAAAATATTTAAGGTATTTTACTCAAAAATTGATAATTTTTTTTTTTTAAATTACGTTTGGAAAATAATTTTAAAAAATTTAATAGATTAAATTTTGCTACTTTAATTTAAAATATAAATTAATTGAATTCATCAAAGAAAATTTATTAATGTTATTTTTATCGTAAATAAAGACTCAATTTCCAAAAGTTTTACAATTATCTATATGAAATTAAATTTATTATATATATATATATATATATATATATATATCAAAAAGAATAAAAACTAAATTAATATCACATACTATTTAATTTTTTAAGAAAATATAAATCAAAAAGATATAGAGCTGAAAAAAATTATCAAATGTAATGCTAAGATGCATAAAGTTAGAATACATGGTATATTAGTGCAAATATATAAAAAAAAAAAACATATGTTAGCATTGTCACCATATTTGGTTACCTCACCCTTAAATGCTGTAAGAATATTCATTTTTCACAACATTTTGATAATTTAGTGTAAGAAGAGAGTACCAAATCAAGTCTTTACGTTGAGATTCTCATACAATTGCTCTCTAAATATTTTCTTAATTTAAATAGTCTGTTCAATGTAAAAATATTAAAAGAAACTTTAAAAAATTAGAAATTCTTTAATATAATTTTAAATAGTGATGGTTTGAGTATCAAAATAAAACTTTTTAGAATATATATATATATATATATATATATATATATATATATATATTTAAAACAATTCTATATTAAAAAATTTTATTTTTTAAAATTATAAAATATTAGATACATGTTGTTTTTTTATAAAAAAGTTTTAAAAAATATTATAATAAAATTTAAAACGTAGATCTGATTAAAAATATATACTTAGAAGCTTACAAAAATAACTTCAATGATGAGTTTTTGTATTAGGTATTATAGAGGCGTCTTTAATGTCTTGGTCAAAAAATTTAATTAATTTCTTAATAGCATAGGTAATAAACTACCAAAAACATTAATTACAAGGTTTTGCTTCCAAATGTGTATATATATATATATATATATATATATATGTGTGTGTATATTTATATATCAATAGAATTAAGGTTTTTTTGAAATTCTAAAATCTTTATTTTATAATCTTAAAATTTTATATTTTTCTTTAAAATGACTATTTTATCATCATATTTTATACTAATAGTTTTTAATAATACATATTAATCTTGTTTGCATAAGATTATTTATTCATAACTTAATTATGATTTTTTTTTATACTAAATATTTTTGTAGCAATTCCAAAGTCCCATAGCTATAAGTTGTTTTATTTATGTATTAGTCTCCTTGTCAAATATGAATAAGCATTTTTGCATAAATCCTAATAAATATCTATTCCTAAAGTTTACATACATTGTTCATTTTTTTGATAAAATAATCATCCTATGCCAAGACTATAACATTACAACACCTCTTCTAAATAAAAAAATAAGATATATACATATATATATATATATATATATATATATATATATATATATTTGCATTAATATAATATCATCTAAATTTACTAGAATATCTTTATAACGTAAAAACTATTGATGTCAAATTGCTTAATTATGTCTATAATATCATTTATAGTCTATAATGCTATAGCTATGTTAATATATAGAAATAAACTATATTTTATATCATATGTTAAAAATAGCAGTAATGTTTTTTCTACATAATGGAAAATATTTAAATTTTTTACAATCTATAATTATGTCTATTAAAAAAAAATCTTAACATTTTTCTAACATTTTGATAGTAAGAAAATATTAATAGAATTTTATATAATATTTTAATTTATAGTTACTTAATTCTTAGAAATAAATAAGTACCCAAAACTGGTGTAATTTATAAATAAAAAATACATAAGTTTAAATAATAGAAAATAAGAGATTATACTACAATCAACAATAGAGAACTAGGTTTATATACCACTATACAAACAATACTTATTTTTATAATAAATTATAAAACTTTAAGAATTTAGTAGAAAATATTAGATGAAATTGTTAAAAACATTTATAAGTTTTAATTATAGATTTAAATTTAAGAATAAATTATATCATTATTATATCATTATTATTATAATTATATTCTCAATGATATTATAAAAAATAGTATTAGTTGAATGAATCAAGATTGATTTTATCATATATATATATATATATATATATATATATATAACTCAAACTTTATATTTTATAAAATATTTTAAAATTAAAATTTTCATTCTAATTTCTTAAATTTTTCAGCTTTTAAAGTTTCTTTTAATAATAATATACAACAATAATAGAATAAAAGCACTTAAAATTTGCAAAGTATACTAGTACTTTTCTCAATGCTATGCAACATTAATATTGATTAAGATTTAAAATGTTTAATTTAAGTTGATAACTAATTTAAGTTGATAACTAGCTTTTTCTTACAACCATAATCTCAAAACCATGACTGAAAAAAAATTGTTATGATTTGACATGACAAATATCAATAGTCCTTTATTTAGAATTTGAAAATACAATTAGGAACAATGCATTTTTGTGAAAACACAATGCATTCGTATGTGTCATTCCCTAACAACATTGGGGTGTGGCTTTAACAGCTCCCTATGAAGAGCAAAACATGCGTGTGTATTTTGTTAATCAAGCTATGTTTCACCCTTTTGATTTCACACCAAAATAATGTTTCACAAGCATCTGCATTGGATAGAAAATATCTCATTTCACACCTCCGTCTGAATGGGGATCCCCTTTTCCTTGTTGAGCTACGACTTAATTCTTTGTGTATTGCAGATAAGTTGTGAGGTGAGGCTGCGAGAATGACCGAGGATTTTTTCTTTTCTTCCACTTCGGCGGAATCAGTCACTTTGTCTTTTGTACTGCGAAACGCTACGCGATCAAAATCAAGCTTAGGATGCATTATTTCACCTTGTCACTGCCTAGAGTTTTGCAAGTCGCTTCAGTCGCAATCGTGTACAAAGTGGAATATGCTTTTAAAAAAAACCAAAACTGGAGCTCAAAATGAAAGCCAATAGAGACGAGGAAAGAGGTGATGCTTCGATGCGTAAATTTTCGTAACCTGGTTGAAGATGAATAGCTTTGGTGTGCTGATTAAGGCAAGAAATCGGTTCTGAAGCAGAAAAAGGGAGACGCATTAAAATCAACGGCGAGCTTCTTGAGAAATCATTCAAGAAGAATTCAGCACGCTCCACATTTTGCCAAGGTAATCAATGCAGCTGTCTAGCAAACTCACCATCGAACGCCATGATTGTTGCTAATGCACTCAAAGCCTATTATGTAACTTTAATAGGAAGAAGCTTGATTAGAACTTTAATGTCATGTCACCAACTACTAATACTAATTACGCAGCTTGGATTAGTCTAAGTTCGATTCAATGAACCTCGGTACAAAATGTTGCGTCTCCAATCCCAAACGTGGGTAGAAAGAACCACCTGGAGATTTTCAAAACAATCGACTAGCCAGCGGCTAAACACAATTACACACAGCCCTGTTTAGTCTAAGTAAGATTGAACTTAAGACACAAATTCCAACACAAATTTTGTTAAATCTCTACACTGGACAGTGGACAATCTAAATCGTGGTTGCAGAAGCAACTACGGCTGGATTTCAAAACAGTCGATTCACGGCCCTTTGCTGCCGGCAAAAAGAACGAAACAGGGAAATTTTTTAACCATCCACAGAACCTACATATATTTAGTTTTGTACCTTGCAACGTGACGAGGGACAAAGGGTGATCTGAACAGGGCAGACCTCCAAGTCCGGGCAGACCTCCAAGTCCGGGCAGCCGCGACAGAAAGAGAAGCGGCGAAAAGAGAGAAAGATAGCCAGGCAGGCAAAATGTTGGAGAGCAAACTCTGATGTAGTAGATGACGTGGTGGAGGGTGCGAGGGAGCAGCAGCAAGGATGAAGAAGTTTTGTTAGAAACAGGATTTGGTACATAAGAGCTTGGCTCATGTAATGGTGTTTATTAATGGAGGTAATGGGAAGTGATTGCCGAAGAGGGTGGAAGTTTACATTATCTTACTCTGCCCGGCGGGCGCTGGGGCTGGCTCGGAAGGACAAACTTTAGGGGATGTGGGAGGGATTCTCGAGGGGGAGGTGAGAGAGGAGACAGGAGACAGGAAGGGGGAGAAGGCTTAGTAGGGAGATGCTTGAGAGGGAAGGGGACGACGAGACAAGAGGCGATCAATAGATGCATCATCGGGAGGGGAGACGTCTCTCTCCATCGTAGACGACGGCAACGCTCGTGCGCTGCTGCCGGGTGTGGAAGAGGGCCGGAGATTTCAGACGACGACGTTCGACGTGATTGAGTGTAAGTGCGATTGTGTTCGGAGTTTGGGAGAGGCTCAGCCACCTTCAAGGGGGGCGGAAGGGACATTGAAAGTAAAAGGAAGGAAAATGTCGGGATACATCATCTCATACACTCAGTTGGGAGCGAGAAGGTGGCGCTGGTAGAGCTGAACTTGGTCAAGTTGTTATTGCAGCCACCGAAGATTTCAACTGGAGGTGTTTTCGTCAACTACATTGACTCAGTGGCTGTAGTGTTGGAAGTGGTGGTGGAAGATTGGAAGAAAGATGGAGTCGTGAGAGGACGAGATCAGGGTTAGGCGGCTGTGTAAGTTCCCGAAGGTGAAAGTAGATATTTTGTGCGAGGTGAGGTGCCAAGGAAAGATTAGAGGTGTACGTGGAAAGTGGTGCGATGCTTTGGCAGCGCCTGGATATGGCTGTAGTTTACTGAGCACTTTTGGTTTTTTAGGAAAACTTTTTGTCGAGGACGTTAGAGTGGATTCAGGAGGTAATTGAACGTGGCTAGGTTGCGCCCCTGCATTTTTTGATGACAGAGCTAATGCCGATCTTCTGGTGGCGACTTCATGCGCCTTCGTGACGCTTTAAATCAGTCGAAGAGTTTCGACTAAGGAGCTAAAACATAGAAGTAATTCGCTAGAAGTTTGTGTTAGTGATTCATGAATGACTAATGGATTCGGATAATGGAGGACTGAAATTGTTAAGTAGAATATCTACGCATTGTCACTCCGCTGGAAAGCAATGTTGAATATTCTATAAGGTTACATCGGTGTTGAGTAATCTACAGAACTCTGCTTGACGAACGTGCCACAGCGATAGATTGGCTCTTCGATAATGTAGATACATGGCTAATACGGAAGTCTTGGGCCGTAAAGCTGGAAGTTAAAAAATATGGTGATCGAGAACAGCGCCAAAGGACAACCAGTTTTCATTGCTAATGCTGGAGCCGAAAAGAGCTTTTGTACAATAGTTTAACTTTTATGTTGTCTGTACTACTACTATTGCAGTCGGTACTGCCTTGAATACAGACTTTCAGATTGTAAAAGTCCTACACGGTTTATTATATACTCAACTCCCCATCTGGTTGAAGTACAGTGTTGTGGAGGGGTCGTTGCGGAGGCTGCAACAGTTATGAAAAGGGATAAGTTTCATGCTCCGATGGGACGATATCGACAATCGATGGGCTCTGCTGCATGACCTCAGAAAATCAACACTGAAATGCTCCAATCGTGATGAAGTCAGTGGAACATCGTGTCGAGTTTGTTTCTACCAAGCGCCTACCGACTTGTTTCATAGTGGTCTCGACTCTCAACAAGCTCAGCTTTCAGTAGGGCTTTACAGCCTATATTAATGCTCTTCTGCTTATCGCCATTCTTCCGTACCATTTGAGGTATGTCCGTTATACTTTCCCTGCTACCCATATGAAAATTCTTTTCTCGGTAGTGCATAAAGCATATTTTTGATTCAGACAGTGTTTCAGTTTTATTGAACATGCTACGTGATCATTCTGCGCAGGTACCGAAGGATCATTGCATTTCGAAAGTCTTCACATGGATCCATCGGAGCCTCTTCGAGCTTACGGGGCTGATTCCGACAAGAACTTGCAGACTGATTCCTACAACGGGTCACTGATGGCTTCCGACTCGTATAACTTTCTGACCGGGGCAGGTGTCCTTGATGTCCCTCTCAAAGAACAAAACGAGTCGACACATGCGCATAAATCATCCAAAGAAGGAGCAGCTCAAAACTCATCAGGCCCCTCGATCGAGACTCTATATACAAATCATGAGCCTTCTCCATCTTCCGGAAGCTTTCCAGGTCGATCGTCACCAGCTCCCGAGTGCAATAGCTGGGATAATATAAATGGAGGAGGATTGTATGGTAATTCTAATATGCAAAACATTCTCATTAGTGGAAGTGGGATGATGGCGGCTCCCACAAGCACAACAACTGCGCAGCTACTTATCGGTGGATTGCATGGAGGGTCCTTTAATGATGGCAGTGAAAGTGATCAAGGGAGTATCTATTACACTTCATCTAACCACCATGATGACTCAATGGCACAGTTGTACTATGTAAATGCAGCGGCAGGATTCTCAAACCCAGGGTTTCATTCTGATGGACGCCAAGCTGGACTAGTTACCACATCACTGTATCCTTCACAGCACGGAGGTACTTCTGCCCAACAATCTTCCACGGACCAAAGCCAACAACAATTTGGCGTTCCATTCATATCCCATGCGTCTCTTGCACACGGTTCAGTGAGACAGCGAGCTCTTGAATCTACAGGAGCAGTCCCAATTCTATCTCTTCACGAACACTCAGGAAGCCACGACGGAAATCATCACTACAACTGGCGAAATGGAGGAAACGAGCACCCATTTCTTCCGATGAATGCAGAGTCGAACCAAAACCATCAATCCCAGTTTGATACAGATTTGCCGCAATATGCTATGTCACGTGCAAGTCACGCAGATCTATCACACATGCAACGAACAGATCATCTCCAATCTGAAATTAGCTTGCACATGGACCGTTCACACGGATCATCCACCACTGGTCAGGTCTTGTCTCTGTCTTTATCTTCACATCAATCCCAATTCAATTCATCGGGAGGACAACTATCTGAATCTGAACACATGAATGCTGTTGCAGCACAAGCAGCTGCAATGGCTAAGACTAAGGAGCTAGCCTCAAGGTATCTGACAGGAGCTAATGCTGACCTGAGTCGTTTCCGAACCCCATCAAGGGATGATGTTGTGGGAATAGGGGCAAGATTTCTACAAAAGCACAACAGCGGTGGAGGTAGAAAGCATTTAGAATCCAGTAACTACAGTGGCCCATCAGGTACAGCCGGATCGAGTAACCACATCTCAGCCTCTAAATTCGAACGATCTGCACAAGCCATTCTCAACGAAGTCTGTAGTGTGACGCCGCTGAAACGACCTCCAAAGCCTATTAGATCTCCTGACCAGCAGCATTGGAGCGTTGCTGGTGGAAGATCTATAGGTGCTGACGCAAACCTAACTTATACTGGGAGAGACGACCGTTCTGCAATGCTCGCCGGCGAAGTTGATTCCGTCAGAGATCCAGCATTGTTCGTCACCGCATCATCACTTGTGACTGTCTCTCAACTTCCTCTTGACTCAGAGACGGTTCAGGAACTTGCAGATGCAGCCAGGTGTGAAAACCGAGTTGATCTAGAGCTGAAAAAGCAAAAGCTCAACCTTATGCTCGATGAGGTAATTTTGATCTGTTCTTTATCAATTGTTTTTACAAAAGGAAAACTGTAACGCGAAATGAACTGGAACGCTACATATTATATGGCGTTACCTTGACCCTTGGGCATTTGTAGAATTCGAAGGGATATCTGATGTCATTAACTGCCACTATTATAGTTCTTTGGAAGAGCTGAATCTACAATCGATCAAGTGCGCTCTTTCTCTCGGCTGAGCTAGCGTGTCTTGGATTACTCTAAATCGAAAAAAATTGCCAGAGTTCTTATATTCTAGAGTTAAAGTCACCTGAATCGAAGGTACCAAGATGATTAAGTCCAGTGATATTTGGAAAATGTTGTTATTTATTGTGCGTTCACAGTACAAACAAGTGCTGAATTCCCAACGCTCGCATTTTTACTTCTAGTCCTTGCTATACAAACAAATTAGTCCTCATTTTTACAACGTTTTCATCGTGCGTATCCGTATCGAGCAGGCTATTTCTGTTCTGATACTCCATGTAGTGATGCTGTTTTCTTATAGAAAATCCTGGTCATTTGCAGGTTGAAACCAGGTATCGCCGGTACTGTGAGCACCTGCAGCTAGTCATCACCGGATTCAATTCCCAAGCAGGACCTAGTACAGCGACTCCTTACACAATATTGGCCCTCCAAGCAATGTCCCGTCACTTCAGGTTTGCATTCTATGCTTCATGTCTCCGTTGGCAGCTTGAAGGAAGACTTATCCTTTCATGACCTGTCTGATTTTGTATATAGTATTGAAACACAGTCTTTCTGACTTACAGTCCCAACTTTAATTAATCCCTAAACATTACCTGACTTTATAAAGAGGAGATATCAAAATATTACATGGAAATCTTGGTTTGTCGCCTCTTAATTCACTCATAGGGTCCACCAGTTCAGACCAATCTAAATTTCAGATCAACGTGTATATACTGACTTTAAAGTTATCATTTATGTGCTTGTGTAAATGATAATACAGAGCTGACATGCAAATATATCATGGGCCAATCGCATTGGCGTTTAGTTAGTCACCTAGCTAGGTTTGCGCACAATTTGACCAATTAGAACGAGAGAAATTATCACTTACTGAAATATCCTTTAAAATTAATCAGCCAGATCCAAGTTAGTTTTAGTGATTCATTAGGAAGGAGTAAGGCTTTACTGGCAGAAGTCTAACTGATCTATTCACATTCATTCCACTTAATAGTTTTTTTTTTTTTTTTTTTTTTTTTTTTTTATTATTATTGAGGGCGTTCTTGGCTTTGACAAAAAAATTCTACATGTTGTTCGAATCTCAACATGCAGTGTTACTTGAAATGTTTCAGATGTTTGAAGGACGCTATTGGGAGCCAACTGAAGATTGTCAAAAGATCTTTCGGAGAGGACGAAAGAACAGGTCAAGGTGAAACTTCTAGAATTCGATACGTTGATCAGCAGATACGTCAGCAGCGCACACTCCAGCAACTTGGAATGCTCCAACAGCATGCCTGGAGGCCACAGCGAGGCCTTCCCGAACGCGCTGTATCTGTTTTGAGGGCGTGGCTTTTTGAACACTTCTTACACCCGTAAGATATCTTATCTAGTACAATCAGATTTCAATGATTTGAGTTAAAAGTACTAAGCAAAATGAACCATCATGATAACTGGAATTTGATCACTCGCAGGTTATTGTAAGTTAAAGAATAATAGAATAGCATTCCTATTTACCATCTGTAAATATTATTTATTGGAACCGAAAAGATTTTCAGTAGCATTATTGGTACCCGACAAAGAAACAGAAAACAAAACTTGGTTTTTCAGTCACAGCAACATGATAGAAATTCAATTCGTACCCTTGAATAATTGGCAGAATTATATCATTGACTTTTCAACTAGTTAAGACACTTCATTCTTTTGATGAAGAATGTTCTGGAACCATACCTTATATTCAAGATTGTATTTAGTAGCACGATCAAATGTTGAGGAACATTAAGTTTTGGCATTTGATCTATCTGTTCTTAAGCAGTCGAAGTAACCGTCAGTTTATTCAGTTGGAAATTTGTGTGCACGTACTAATCCTTCACATATGTACTGAAAAAAATTGATCAGATATCCCAAAGACGTGGACAAGATGTCACTTGCGAAGCAAACTGGACTAACAAGGAGCCAGGTTTGACACAACTATATATATATATATATATATATATATATGATAATGATAGCTCAGAAGGCTCTAGAAAGATTGAACTTGATAGTTTGCAGTCTATGTTTACATGCACTCGCATACATTTTGCATGTTTTCCATAAATATCATAACGATATCACTGCGGGTGGCTTGGAAGCCCTTCCCTACAAGCCTCCACTCCAGAACGCTTGAACAGTGAGAAGATCAGTCATCAGGTAGCAGAAAATGAATATCTGAATCTACGATGTTTTGTTGACTTGCATGCGAGCAGGTTTCTAATTGGTTCATCAACGCACGAGTACGGCTGTGGAAGCCAATGGTAGAGGAGATGTACGTAGAGGAACAAAAAGAGTACCCTGGAGATCATACTGCAGCCTTAGCTCAGTCCGAAAGAATGGCCAGAGATCAAGTAGATATTGAAAGCCATACATATGAGCAGTATAAGGGAGGGAGAGGTCACACAGGCTTGCTACAAGAGATCAGCGCAGGTGCACAGTCCTCCAGGTTGCCGAATGGATTAAAAAGGAACGAAGATAGGGAACACGACACTGGAGCTAGCGTTTCGGAGGCTGGAGGGATATCTTCCGACACTAATGCAGAACTTTATTCACAGCTAATTCCTAGGAGTCATCATCTAGATATTGGTGCTGCTGGGAACTATAATCAGGAGGGTCGAGAAGCCAAGAAGCCGAGAACATCTGGTTCAGATGCTTTCAACATGACTTCATCAACAACGCTAATGCACCCCGGAATGGATGTTGAAGCTAGTGAGAGCTGCGCACGGACCCAAAATTTCTCCTCTGGCGGCGAATTAGACTTGCAACGGAAAAGTGACGTCGATTTTGGTACTCAATGTCAAGTTTTGAATCAGATCAATCAAGACGAAAATGGATATACTATCTCCCAACAAGGAACTACCATAGTCGATCAGATTGAACCTAGCGTTGCTAGTGGGACGTTTGCAGCATATAATAGCAACATCGGACACAGATACGGGAATGAGGATTATTCGTCTAGAACAATTTCTGCTGCCCTTACGACAAGTACTGGTGTGTCTCTCACTCTGGGATTATGCCATTGTGATACAAATCAACTTAGATCCTCATTGGTATCTCCTATTCTCGTAAAGAGTACCTACAACATGGATGTGAACGATCAGATGAACCAGCTGAACGGAGTGGAACATTTCGAAAGTAGGACTAAAAGTGTCAGCAACAATTGTCAGTCGTCCGCAACCATGAGTAACGGGCACTACAATCAAATTAGTGCAGTACAAGATGATTCGGATAATTCCACCCAACAGCTTTCGCCTCATCATGAGTTTGTTACTAGCTGACCTTTATATCAGGTAATCTGTTCTCACAAGCTAGTTATCTGACATTATGTGTCAGTTTACTTTGCATGATGAGGTTGTGTTAGCATGGTCGTTGATAGTGCACAGAGAAGACAGGTCAATTTGTTTAAATATTTTTTCCTTAACATTTTCCATTGTTTTGACGATTTTTCTTTTATGGATCTAGGTCACCAGGCATTGAGTGATTACCAAAGTGCTAACCTTCATCAACCCATGCTCAGGAAACATCTGCCTGGATATAGTGATCGATATTTTAAGAATGAGAGGGTTGACTGCCAATTGTTTGTTCAGTAGGTTAAGCAGAAGTCTTGAGTTTATCATGCAGCAGAATTGTGGTCATGTTGTGCCATCTGAATTTCAGATTGAAGTGTGCCAAATGCTTTCAAATGTATGGTCTGTCAATGCGTTATCTGTGACAGGAATCTCCTGAACACGGTGTGCTTTTCTATGTGTTGTGCAATTGGATTCAGCTCATTCATGTGATTTTAATTGTCCTAAGTCATCAGAAGTTGTAACTAATTTTTTTTATTCAGGTTAAACCAGACTGCTCTTGAGCTGCAAGGAAATTGTCTGTGCATACAATGTACAGTTCTAGATTACGAAAAAATTGAATACTTATATTTGCATCTTTCCTAGTATTCAAGAAAGTTCTTATATTAATGCCTTCATGTATATTGGTGAATGTTAGAAATTAATGCAAAGTTGATTGTTTGATCCTCCAATGCCATGAATCAATGTAAATTTCTTTTAAATAATCAATCTTCTTATTAAAGAATGACTTTTACATTCTTGTTGCAAAAATCTACAATATCTTTTAATTTTCAATTAAGATGCAATATAGCAAAATTAATTTATTGATACATGTGTATAAATCATATATTTTTCTTTACTTCTAATGTATTAATATTTCTTAAAATTATGCCAATATCAATATCAACATCTATACATTCGATTTTTAATATTCTATTTGCAAAAAGCATCGATAGTCACTTTTTGTTAAGAACAAATCAATTTTAGTATAAGAAGTAATACTTTCTTTCTAGCCATTTTTATATTATTGTCAATTTTTTTCTGCCATTCTTTCAACAAGAGTTTAGACATTAAAGCTTTTTGATTGTTTTAGTAATAATATCTAAGTTGGTATTAAGAACACATTCAAAACTTCAATGAAGAAAGAATAATTTCAAGAAATCAAGACTAAGACGTGTATAGAAAAGAAAGATATAATATAGCCAATAAGATAATAATCTATGATTAATGTCAAGAAACAAGAAGGCGTTAAAGCCACAAGAAGAACAAATTCAAGAAATGACTTTAAAAGAGTGAAAATGGTCTTAGTCTTGTATCTACTTATATTAAATGCAAGACCAAAGATTTGTAGTCCAAGCTTTTCATGTCTTGCCATGCTAGCTAGTAGATGACTATCAACCAAGACTTAAGAAGCTTCCTAAAAAAACTTATGGTTCTAAATCTATTATATGGCTTGATTTCTAAATTCTAGAAGCTTTTTAGAAAGCCACCTAATATAGCTTAGCTTCTTAACTAACAAGTTAATTCTTCTATTAAGTTCATAGAATGTTTTAGAAAGATCTACTATAATGTAGAAGATTCTATTTGCATTGGTGGCAAATCAATTGTGATCATAATTTATGCATTTTAGAACCTTTAATTTGGCATTAGGCAATGGTTTTTTTACATGCCATGCAATAAAAGAATTTGGTTTTGTCCATGTTATGTATATTTTGAGGTTCATACTATACTACCTTGCTTTATAATCTTAAAAAGCTATAAGTATATGCATTTTAAGATTAATAGTTGCATTGTTAGAATAATCACTTTCACTAGGCAATTTTATATCTTTGAAAAGGGAATTGCTTTAGTGAAGTGATTTATAAGCAAATAGAAGTTGTGTATTGGAAAAGAGAAGTAACATGCGAAGGAGGGGATAAAGCACATATTACTATGCATAACTACTTTCTACTTTGATATCTGCTAATTATTACCTAAATCTGCAATAGATTATATTAAATAGTGGAGGTTCAAATATATATATATATATATATATATATTATTTTTCTTAAAAATCATATAGAATAAAATTAAAATGATATTTTTTTATAACTTAAATTTATAATTACTAAAATCTAATATTAATCTATTTTTTTGAAAATATCTAAATAGAGTTACATTTTTATAATTTCTATTATATCTAATTGTATTATTTTAGTTTAAAATCAAATTTAATAGTTTTCAAAACTTATAAAATTTTTAAAAATTATAATTTATGATATTGCTTGCAGATTCTTTATATTTTCATTGATTAGAATAAAAATTCTAAAAAAATTATACAAAGATATTATCTTTGTATTAAAAAAATTATTAAAATAAATATCATGTAGACTTTAAGGCCAAATCTATAAAGCATCAATTATTTTTTAGATTTACATCATTCATGCAACTTTAGTCGTATATATAGATATAATTTTTATGAATGCTTGTATACTTTTTTAGTTAACTGCTTTTTCCTCACTAAATAATATTAATATTATAAGAGAGTTTGGTTTCTTGGCATTATGAATAATCTTTATGAATTTTGAAATAACTTATTTAAGGCTTTAAATTTATCATATATTTTTATTTTTTTTTACACTATAACGTTTGAATATGATAGCTTTAGTCTCCTTAAAAATCTAACTTGTAAATCTTTCATTACAAATAAGTCATTACTTCGCTTCCTATAGCCTCTTCTCTCTACTAGCATAGGCTGTGTTGTATGTAGATGATTATAATTACCTAACATTGAAGTTATTATGTTTGAAATAAAACCTTTTCCTGTAAGTTTGTAGAGACATATCCAAAACAAATCCTACGATATAACTTCCTAGGTTTTGTTGTTTCACGACAAATATCGAAGAGTAGCTAAGCAAAATTTGCTAATACCTCCAGTACTACTTTTCAATTTCAACTTGCAAAATTTCTAAGCACTCATAAACCAAATCATTCGAAGCTAGCACTCGGCCTGAATTGAATAGGAGTTTAACTGAGAAATAATGTGGTAATCTGGGGACAACACAAACCAAGAGTTTTAATCGAAGTGAATAACATGGTTGATTTGAATTATAAACAAGAAAAAACACTTCAGAAGCAACACAATTTTCCTCTTGCTATAAAGGCAACATGCCACAGTAACAATTCACAAATTGGGTCTCTTGTCTCCATTCTGAAAATGAATCTTTAATCTAGTAAGCTGATGATCCTGCCTCGTCTTTATAGGCTTAACCTACCTACTGAAACTTGAATAGAAATACATCATGTCTACAACTAAAAGAATCTGTTCTTTAATCTTGTAGCAAGCAAGGTTCACACAACGATGAAGAGTTGAGACCAAAAACTTCTCACGCCCAACCCAGAAGACATACCGACTTTCTAAGCTGTGAGATGAAACTCAAACCAAAAACTGGAAGGATAAAATCTAGTCTTGTTTCTCCAGTTCGCCCATTCTTTCAATAATTGCCTGCAGCAGACAAAATCATCTCACCTTTTAGCAAAAGACATAGCGACGTCCCAAGACAGAAAAAACAGTTAGAGAAATGCTTACTGAGCGAACTAATGTGTATACCAGCAACCAAAAAATCTCTATGAACAATTTATACAGTGGTTACCTTTTTGCTGGTTTCTTGCAATTCACCAGCAAGAATGAACTCATCCAATATCAAATACACCTGTCAGTAGATGAAAATGGTGTCATTCTTACACACTTGAAAACAAACACTAAAAAGCGTCATATAATCCACGATAGATTCTATTGCCTACATCCGGGTACATCCAGGTGCACGATGCATTGTTATCGAATATATAGACTGCACATGCGTCAAATGCCAGAAGAAACGACGCGCGTGTACCTTATGGAAATTGAAAACCAAATCCAGCTCACAGACGTTGCTAAAAAAATGATCCAATATCTCCACAAACAAATGAATACTTTCAAGATACGCCAGCTCGTTGTCCGTAATATCAACGCACAGTGAGAAGAAAAGCCCAGCATAACGTCGATAAATCACCTTGTGTGTTCGAAACTGCACAATATGTTCAAAGAGAATCACCACAAGGATGAAGTGCTTCATACCCAAGCCGGCTGGGAGCTGGTGGCATGAGGTTCTTAAGTCCAGTCACTTTGCGGCTACTGAAAATAATTAGTTGAACATATGCTAACACCGACTGGTAAAATTGGCAGGACCCTCACCTCAACAAAATTGGTGAACTTCGGATCCCTGTTAACGACCAACCTGTGAACCTGCACACGCGCTGAAAAGCTCAATACAAACCTGCATACTGCGACGTCCATGTGATCACGTAGAGTTTGGACTATTATTCTAAAAGTGATGTTCAAGGGTCCAAATGACATACGGAAAGCATGCAATCAATGAAAAGTGTCACCCCCAGATATAAAGTTTACTTATCAATGCATGAATCTACTTCTGCAATTGTTAAAAAAGATACATTTTAAGCGATATTAGAACAGTTTCACAATACAAAATTAGTGAACACTGACGAAGACTCTCAAGAAGTAAATTTATCAATACCTCATACTCCAGCTTGTGCTTTTCCGAGTCCTCCAACGGAATGTAATACTTAGCCAGGCGAGTTTTCCCTTGCCGGTTCTGAAGAAGTATAAATCGAATCTGCTCCAAAATCAACGTCATCAACTATCAATACTAGCTTTGATCATACATCTTAGCGTTCTAAGAACATCACTTGCACAGTGAGCAAAAAATCTAGGTACATAAAAAGGAAACCGCTATTGTTTGAGTTCAGAAAAAAAAAAAAAAAAAAAAAAAACCAAAAAAACCAAAAAAACCAAAAAAACCAAAAAAACAAACAAACAAACAAAAACGAAAACTCAATTGTTTCAATCAAATCAGCTCATAAAAACCCTAACAAAATCAAAATCAAATTAAATAATAACATAGCACAAGTCTAGCTCCAAGCGAAACGCCAGCCACAACTTTCTAGCTGAACCACAAGCCAAATCCAACGCAGCTCCAACATCACGCACAGCACCAATCCCCACAAACCAAAATTCTTCAGACACACTCCTAACCCTAAAAAGCACCAAACACCACCCACATTCACAACACACAATACTAAACAGAGTAACAGCAGTTTAAAAAACTCAAAAAAAACGTCAAGATGAAAACACAAAGAAAACACCCACCTTGCATTCAAAAAGCCCCAGAAACTCATGGATCGAAACCCAAATACGGTTTTACATCCGAACTAATAATCCGACCTATTGAGCAGTAACTCCCTACGACCTCCTCATAACAAGTAGCCCAAGCGTGGAAGAAATGAAAGCTGCAACCCAAAAGCTGCGAGATGGGTGTGAGAGAGAGCCTCACCATGGTTACTGGACTGTGATGCGGTGTCTGTCGATGAGCTTCCACTGCCAATTGCGCAGATGCGAGAGATTGCGCGCGAGGGCACGAGCGATGGTGAGCGAGCTTTGACAAGAGCTTCAGCAACGCAGAGCCCGTGAAAGAGCCGTTCGATGGATGGATGAAGACCTGATTGGATCGGTACAGGGGCTTCATTCATCCTTCCTCTTCGATTCTGTTCGTTCTGACACCGTGTCAGATATAATGTCTCTGTCTTATTTCCATTTGTCTTGGTCACAGGTTTTGTGGTTTGATGGCCTTTAAAGTAGGTTGAACAATTAGACTTTTCCACCTTAAATATATTTAAATAATCATTAAGTGCAAATATTTGCGGATTTATAGATAAATAATTATAAATATATATATATATATATATAAATTGTGGTTAAAATGTTATATCATGTTTTTGTACATAGATTAAATAAAGTGTTAAAATTTTATATTTGAATTGTAAACATTTAGAAAGGAATCTTTATTGTGTTTACTTTTGCATTAAAGTATGAAATGAAATTTAGCTATAATGTCGTTGCTAGTGTATGTTGCATATATATATATATATATATGTGTGTGTGCGTGTGCATGTGTGTGTGTATGTATATATGAATACTTAATATTTGAAAAAACTGTATATACAAAAAAATTATATTAAATTAAAAAAATATGTTTTATTGAAAACTCTCAATAGTAAATGTAATGCTTTCAAATTTTATTTAGAATACAAAATTTAAAGTATTAGACTAATTTATTATAAAATAATAAGATATTTGTTGATATTATTAAATACATATTTTTTCCACCACAAGTGCTTATTTACTGTAACTCACTTAAGCAACAATATTCTACAAAAAATGAGCCAATACGAGTCTAGATTAGACGTTCTACCCAAAAAAACAAAAGGAATTAAATTCTAAAGCCAAAACAGACATACAAGTCACTTAGATTTCATGTGAAGATGGTACCTTGAATACTGAGACATAGACAATGTTGTGTGTTCAAATTTTTTGTATGTTAATTCATTGCTCAACCTCTTGAGTTCATCTCACAAACAAGGTTCTATGAATGTGGTGAGATAAACATTACAAGCAAGCCACCTCTGATCAGATCCTATGTCCTTCCAATTAGCACACAGGAAAGCAAAAAAAGAAAAGAAAGGAAAAAACATTTCAAATGTATTTTTGGTTGATTGATAAAGAATTGCACGCACTGCAGGACTTCAACTGACTTGCATCAATACTTGGAAAATGTCTCCACCATCTTCTTCCCAATCCCACATCGAACTTGCCGTCGAAACCCAATTGATTTGCATGAGTCCGTGCTAGCCTGTAAAGCCACAAAGATTTTTCAAGGAAATAAACGAAGACGATGATGATCATCATCTTCGGAGAGAGTAATTACCACAACAGTTGTAGCGATTGCTGTTGCAGAGCACGATGGCGGAGAAACAGATCATGGGAATCCCTAGAACTTATGCTCATTGCTTCATGGTTGTAGCCTCTCTTTACTTCAATCACTCTACACGCAGAATTGCGAAGTGTCTCAAATTGTCGCTCAAAGTGCTCGTCATTTAGTTTTTTCCGTTTAGTTGCCCGACTGCAACACACTATGTTGGCCCCACTATGAGGTTCCTTCGAAGGAGGACTGAGTCAATCAGCTTTGAAGACGCAGAAGGATTGCCAGCTTACCAGTTCCCCAATAATTCCGCGACTCGGTCTCTTCACAAAGAAGAACAAGAAAAAAAAGTCTCCCTATTTCAAGCAACCAACGCTCACCGACGCGCACCCACTCTGAATGCGCTCAAGGAATCCAAAATCAACACATAAATACCTATTCTATCCGACACATATTATCCGCAACTGAAGAGACGCAACAAACAAACGAAGAATGCAGGCGCGATTACAATCCTGCGCTTCATTAGGAACTGCACAAGATGAGGGCAGGAAGACAAGAATGTTTATATTTTTGAGTCTGCCCGGAAGGAGAAAGGCGGGCCATCATCATCCATCGCCAGCCCCGCCCACGGGTACTAGCGGGGGACCCGGGTACGCCCCCATTTTGCAGAAATCTAGCGGCGAGGAGTCAGCGGCGAGGTTGGGCTGCGTCTCAACATAGCATGGTGCCGTTGCAGAGACCAGAAGAAAGGGAACAGACACAGACAGAAGATTGATCTTCTGCAGCTGCTGTCGCTCTATCGCTGGGACCTCACTGCCGGGCCGTTCGCTCTTGGCCTCGCCTCCACTGACACCCACCCACTTGAACATACACTCACACACACACGCACATGCTCACGCACCCACCAGCCCCCGCGTCCTCCCTCTTACTCCACTGCACCACTGCGTCATTGAATCGCTAGATCTGCACGCCATCATCTGTCTCGTTTATCCACTCCTGCAACTGCCACTGCTATTCCCCCCTCCCTGCTTTTTCCAGCTCATTCTACCCCTGATCCCTCGTCTGTCAGCTTCCCAATTCCCTCGGCAACTCATTTTTCGAGGAGTGCACTACCAGTAGTGGCTTGGGTTGCAGATATATATATATATATATATATATATATATATACTTGTTGTCGTTCTGCGGGATTTTTGGCTGCACGAAGCTGGAGAGTCAATTTGGAGGCTCCCTCCAGGGTGCTTGATCCAACAGATCAACTGAACTTTAGGTAGAATTTTTCTGTTTGCCGGGTGTTGCTCTGTTCGTGAGAGAGAGAGAGAGAGAGAGAGAGAGAGAGAGTGTGTATGTGTGTGTGTTTGTAAATGTGTAAGTGTGTGTTTCTGTGGATCTCTTAAGGTGGTGGTGTAGCACGTCGAATCGAGCGGAGAGCACGAGGCGGAGGAGACGAGCATCCATTTTTTTTTTTTTTTTTTTTTTTTTTTATTGGAATTGATGAGTTGTGGGAACGAGGGTGGTGGTGGAGGATGAACTTGGGTGCGGACGGCTTTGGGAGGTGCCAGCTCGCGCAGGCGGGGTCAGAGAGATATTCTGGCCTGCTTCATGTGTGCTGTTCCGTGGATGTTTTACAGTAAGAATTAAAAAATAAAATAAAATAAAATAAAATGGAGGCATGGAAGGGAGGCAGGCAAGTAGTGGCACATGATCCTCACTCGTCGCAGAGGAGCCTGGTGTTTGACGAGGAGCGGGCCGCCAGGCGATCAGCGAGGAGGAGATGGCTTCGTAGCTTTGCGTGCCTGCTCGTTGCCCTGCTGGTGCTACTCCTCGTGCTCGGGTGCCTGGGAGGTATTATATGGCTCGTCGTGAAACCGAAATCGCCATCGTTGGTCCTTCAGGGAGTCACCTTGCACGACATTAAGGTAGGAGCATTCAATGCTCGAGAAACGGGTGCACTCAATTCCTACTCTCTCCTCATTTCTCTAGTTATGTGTACGCTATGATGTCCGAAAACACTTCGGAATGGAATGTTGTGCTCAGCAGGAGAAAATTCAGAAAAAAAAAAACACCGCCTGCTGATCATGGTGCTGCGTGCTCTTGGTTCAGGTTCAGGTAGCAAACGGAACAACCAATGCAGGGAACCCTACTGTATTGTACTTGAACTCCACCCTCCTTCTCCTGGCAACTAACACAAACCGGATCAGCGTTGGCTATTCCACTGTACATTTGAATGTCACTTACGGCGACGTAATGCTAGAGAACACCACATTGCCAGCATTCCGTCTGCACGCACATGGCAACACTTCCATTGGGATACCGCTTTCTGTTGACAACCGAGAGTTTTTCCAACCGGAGGGTCGCTACCTTCTTAGGGATGCAGACAACAACAATTTGCCTCTAAAACTTACTGGGGTAACAACTGCAGAAGTGTACACATTTGGAAAAAAGTCACTAATGAAGGTATGATTCATCTACTCTGGTAAAAATATAATGATACATAGTATTCAACTGGACCTTTTTCTCCACTGCGCTTCATGACAGCGTCAGTGATGCTCAGGATTAACCCTGATTTGTGAATTTGCCTGCCTAACTTTCATTATTAGGTCAATTCGATTCATTTTGACTGCAAGTTCAAGATTTCGAATCTCCAAGTTGAACTCAGTTACTGTGATGGTCGTTTGCTGCAGCTCCAGATGGATTGCGACATAGTGATTCAATACCAGGATCTTAAAGTTCATACCAATGCTTGCAAAACAAGGTCCTCAAAACTATGACCAGAGCCTATCAACGGGTAATGTACCTTGTTTTTCAAGTTTGACCTTGAAGAAATCGCAACACTGTATATACCCTGCGGTCCACTTAGTCCCCATTGTAAAAGACCCTAAAGAGAAAAATGAATGAAACTCAGTGTTAGACTTGGACAGCGAGAAGACGTGGATTCCATGTAGACTCCGGACAGTAGAAACGGTGTACAACATATCTCTAGCTGATCTTCAGCATCTTTCAACAACCACCTCAAGTTGTAATTGAATGTTGAGATATCGGTTCCTCTCCCTCCCCTCCTTCTAATCTCCACATGAGTTGGTGCCACAAGCTCCTGTCGTTAATCTGGTTGCTACCCTTGGTCTTGTGTGGATTGTAAGAAGCCTTCGCCATTAGTATGATGAGCAGATGCCTTGTGACATGAAGGTCACTTGTCTAACCACCTGGTCTTGCCCTGGATGTTTTAATTGTGTTTGAAGTACTCCTTTTACGACATGGGTCCTTTGGGATCATGCCAACCAACTGTATTACTCGAGAAATTCCAACTCATTTGAAACACGACGACATGTTTCCACTTGATGTGGTGTTTTCGAGGTTGAACGTTCTGTAGACTGTGAAGATCATTACTGGTATCTATACTATCAAGCTTTGATGTTCATGGATACCTTGGGCATGGGAATTTGTGTGTAGGGATAACGCTGAGGAATCAAATTTCATAGTCTAGATGGAGCAGGTCTGCTTCTGCTAATTAGCCAAATGGGTTGTGTCACTGACATGGCAGGTCTTCCTGGGCATTGTCAATGTAACTGTTTTCACAGCTTTAACTAAGAGAAACAAACTGTTCTTTGGATAGGTTTGTATCTAAAAAGGCTTCACCGACTTCCACCTTTCTAGGGGTAGTCCATGTTTGATAGAATATTCCACTGCAAAAAGGCTTCATTATCTGCATGACTAGGCTTCATGTGCTCGTTGCTTACAGTAATTTACAGGGACCGTTGGAAGGCTCTGTCGGTGGAAATTGATTGCATTGTTTTTCAAAATTGTTCAAGTGGGCCAGGTCAGTAAAATGTGCCGCAGGTACCATGGTAATTATTTTTCTTCGCCGATTTATGGGCAATTTTAACAATTCTTTTAAATAAATATTTTAAATATTTGCCAATGCCTTCTAGTTAAGATTGGAACTTAGGGTGTAGGGGTGGAGAAGTCCAATGAGCCTTGGTAGAAGAGAGGGAGTGACCAAGGCAAAGGATAGAATATGTAGAAAAGTTTAATTTTATATCATTATCACTACTAGCCTACTACTAACCTACTAAGATGGCCAAAAGCAATTCTTCCACCACCAAAGTGTCACTATACTCCATTGTTTCTACCCAATTCTAGTTGCACCAACCCTTTCAATTAATGACTTTGAAATTCAATCTCACATGATTTATATTGATCTTAGTTTTCTTTTGCCCAATGTTTGCCAATTATTTGGTGATAGCAAGCAAGATAAAACCAAGACTAGTACTTCTCATCTACATGTTGAGATATTAAGGTATCTTTCGTGTTCAAGTTGTTCAAATGCATGAATTCAACTTAAATAGTAATTTCATGACAAAGTAAACATATCATGAAGAGATCTATTATGGATTTTAGAAGTTGTACAAGTATTGAATTAAAAGTGAATTTGAAACTAGTACTCAAATAGTGTATGATTGTGGAAATAATTTAAATTGGGTGATTAGATAATTAATTTTTTTAAAAAATAAAAAGGTGATTAGATAATTAATTCATTTAAAAAAAATAAGATTAGATATAAAGTCAAATTATTATACTATATTTTGAACATTATATTTCTATTTGATATTACAACAAAATTTTGGTTTTAATTTAAAATAGAATTTTTGATATTCTCTTACACTTGTACATAACTTTGCTTAATGCACACATTTATAAATAAATAAATAAATAAAAATTGAAAAATTGTTAGAGTAATTAAAGACAATCAAAGAATACAATTGTAATAGAACATATATATTTTTTAAAAATTAAGCTATTTGAAACCAGAGTATAATTATTATTTTTGTTGTAACTTAAAAAGTTTTAGAAATTTATTTAAACAACTACAACATATAAAAAATTAATAGAACTATGTTTAGCTGAATCTAATTATTTGAATTTATATTAATGTGATTTCAAATGCATTTTAGTAGTATTCAAAATACAGAGATACATTAATTTTTGTATAATTTTTTAGAAATATATATATATATATATATTGTATGATTTAAATTTTTGGTTAATATTAAAATATTCTAAATTATATTTATCTATGATTTTCAATTAGATATATTATTTTCGAATATTTGAGTTATAATAAATAAAAAATCATTATTATTATTATTTTTCAACTTTGGTATTTTGCATTTAATTTTTATAATTAGTAACTATTTTGTAATAAAGCATTTATTGAATAATAACTCATAGAGAGTATGTATGTATGTACAACAAGTAAAATGGTTATGAAGACTAAAAGAAAGACTTATATATATATATATATATATATATATCTATATATGTATTTATATATTTCAATTACACATTTCATTGATATACAATAACTGAATTAATTTCTATACAATCATATTTCTATTTTAAAAAGAAGTATGATACAAGTTCAGTTTTTCTTTTTATTGGACTAGTCTGTAATAGTGATTGGTTTTACATAAACATATTTCAATAAAATCAGACACTATTTTATAATTCAGTACTATACTGTACTGTATTTTTATTTTTATTTTTAGGAAAGTAACTTTTATCAGATGAAATTTTGTAAATTCAGAATAACATATTGTGTTTCAAAACATTCATATTTTAATCTCCTTTTTTAATGAAATTATTGGATTAGAAATACAATCAATGTTATGATTGTATAAATTAAACTTGAAATATTAATCTGTTTTTTCAATCATTCTATTGTACCAAAAAAATAAAGTCACAAAAATTTCTTACTTCAATTGTAATAATTATTTTTATTTTTAAAAACCTTAGTTGTGAAATATCATTCTACCATGAATACATAATTAAGATAGCTTTATTAAATTTCATCTAATATGATAATCCTACCTGGACCAATGCCTACATCTGCTAATGTTTCTAAATCATCTTTCAATTCAATTGGAATGGGTGAATCCTGCAAAAATAGATAACAACAATGCATGTAAATTTGGTTTAATCTGATATAACCTTTAAATTCAATTCAAATTCCACTCATTTATTTATTTTCATCCTTATTGTTACATGCTTAATTCATAAAGTTGCATATTATGATTTTTAAAGATATATCATTCATACATTTATATATTTGTATGTAAACAATCACGAGTTATTTTAAGGTCATATTAAATTAGCTTTTAAAAAATGCAATGATGTTTTGCATTCACACAAAAGTACAGATTGGGACATATTAAAATAGTGGTTAAAATTGCCTGGTCTTTGAAATACAGGCGTTGTTGATTAGAAGGCAATTTAAAAAGACTTTCACAAACCACCTTCAACTTTCCTATCTGCAAAGACGTGCATTTGAGTAAAAAACAGACTTCGACATTGTTTTTAGAGCATATAATGAATTTCAAACACAAAAAATCATCAATTAGAAGTTTTTTTTTATTATTATTTTTTATTTTGGGTTGTCACGATAAGAAATGAAATGGAGGTCCACAAAGACACAAACCGTGGTTGCAAGAGGCAGTTTTTTTGTGATGGACGCACATTCTCCAACTCCAGCAGCAACACACTCTATTGTTACCGCTGTGAATTGACGAAGGATAATAATAATAATAAAATGAAATGTAATAAAAATGAATTCCATACTAAAATCAAATAACAAAACCCCATTCACATTTTCAGAAATAATGTAATTTATAAAAAAAATTACATCTTGTATATAATTCAAAATGTATATTCTTGAGTTCCATGTTTATAACTGAATACATGTATGTCTGTGTATATATATATATATGATCCTCTTTCTTGCGAGCGTACAGTTGGTACAGCGTGCTTTCATTGCTGTACCAACTACCTAATTTTTATCCTTTAAATTTAAATCTTTTTTTCTTTTTTTCTTTTATTTTATTAATTGAAAATATTGACATTGTACCAAAGAAATTGTTTGCAAAAGAGTCGGAGTTGGCAGTGTTGATGTATCCAGAACTCCAAATATCTTCAGGCAAATCATGGATCATCCTTAACTTCTCAAACCGAGGATGACTTTTAATTATTCTTTCTTTGCTTTGGGTTCTCATGGTTTGGAGCACATGCCTCACATATCTGCATCAATTACATCCCAATAACTCAAACAAATCAAAAAATCAAAAAATAAACCGAAAAAAACAATTGCTCTAGAAATTGGCAACTCAAACGATTTCATTCGAAACAAACTCACAATTCTTTTTACTAACAACAATAATTCCAAATCACTTGAAAAATTCGATATAGTTCATTTATTGAACTTAAACAAAAAGTCTAAAACAAAAGATTAGCACTAACCTTTGATAAAAAAAAATTAAAACAAAAAAACATTAAAGATTGCGAAGTCATTCTGTTTTATCTATTCTTCTCCCTTTTTTATCCTCACGAATACTTAAAAATCTACAAGTTTCTTAAAAAAAAATAGAGAAAATTTTGGAAAGATCCACATTGATGAGGAATGAGGTAGTTAACGCTAGAAAAACCAAACACGTAGTAAATACGCCAGTCAAGGCAAAAGCAAAGGAGGAGAGCTAAACCTGATTTCCGAGTCCCTGCGCTCTCTTGGTTTTATCTGCCACACTTATCCGAAACGTGTGACTTCAAGAGTAACAATGTTCAAAATCTCAAAACCATAAACAAAAACCTCATGACTTGTAACTGTGAGCACAGCATAGCAGGTGAGTTAATTAAACAAGTGGGTGTGAATGAGGAGCTCACTCACCAAGCTGCCATTGAGACAAGACAAGCTGCCCATGCGAGCTATCAGCATGAACCTCGTTGCAGTCCCCGTTTTGTGATCCGTTAATGGATTATCTGACAAGCGCACATCCTACACCAGAGCCAACAGTTACAGCTGAGATTCACGAGAACAGGAAACCTACTAGAAATGCATAGATATATATATATATATATATATATATATATTGACATTCTGGGTGTGTTTACCTGAAGCGAGGGGAACCAGTCTAAAGCATCCACAGAGGACCAGTCGGCAAGGTTGTTTCTACCTACAAGTTGTGGGCACACATTATGTCCAGTTCTCTAGAGCCACATCACGAGGAGAGGAACAGAAAGACATCAAATGATATGCCCAATTTGTTGTTTCTCTCTTTTTTCTATTCTCCCTGCTGGAATTAGGTGAAGCTTGAAAAGGAGGATATTGATGTGAGAAGAAGGCTTACCCAAGTAGAGGCAGAGCAGTGAAACGAAAGGCAAAGAGGTGCTGTTTCTGTCTCCAGACCTTGCCAGATATTCAACAAGCGTCAAGCGATTGCCGTTCAAGCACAATTTTGCTAAACTGCAGGCACAAGAGAAGTGCTATCATAGGTCATAGTGTATGCTTCGGGGGGTGATGTGGGTGCCAGAATCGAAAGCATGAAATGAAGGTGGAGAGGTGAAGGATTTATTACCTTGGGAGCTTGGAGAGCTTCATCACTTCTTGCCAGTCCTCCAAGTAGTTGTCATCCAAGTTCAAGAGCCGCAACGTCTGTAGTCCTTGAACAAAACCACCTGCATCTTCGTTTCCATCCTGCCCTACCAATGTTTCCCAACCCCCAGCTTCATCAAGGATTGCCCGTTTATATCCTGCAGTTTTAGAATTAAGCACTTGTATGTATATATATATATATATATATATATATATAGAAGTGGGATTGAAGAGGGAGCAACCGCCGTTGGGTGAGACCTTTTATCCAAGAACTAGTTATGCATTACTTAAATTGGATACGTTCGTATGATGAATTAATTTGACAACCAAACAAACAAAAGAACATAGAACACCTTGAAATTTGAGATACAATTTCCAATCAAAGACAAGTCTTGAATATTTGGAAGGTAATGCTTCAAAATGTCCACCTGAATCATGTTGCCATAAGTGTGTGCAGCTTAGTTGACATGGATAAAAAAAAAAAAGTGAAGCTTATATGTTCCAAAAGTTGTGATTATGGGTATGTCTACAAAGCCTTAAGTGTACCGTACTTGGCTCCATGTCAAACCGCAATGGTTGAGAGCAACTCCCGTCAAGTTTGATGATACGAGTAGAGGCTTGGCAGCTGCCGCAAAAGGGAAGCGGCTGCAACTCAGTTCTAGAATCCGAAGAGCTGGAAGCTCATCACAGATCCGTTTGACCTCCTGCACATTACCAGGTTTGACCATGCGTCAGGAGCCTTAAGTCCCTTCAACCATGGGGTTTGTGTGTTGAATTTATGTCCTTGAATCGAAACATAACCATTCTTGTCGATGCTGAGGTAATGGTTGAAATTCAATCCAACATATACGTCAATTTCATATCAATTTTTTTTGTGTTCACAAATTTGCCACTCAAATCCACCCCTGCTTTCTGATTCCCAGTTTCAATGTTGTGGAAACATTGTTCACCAATTTCTTGAAAATTGTGCTATTGCATCATGCACACACAGGGTGGTTGCAAGCTCTCTCTCTCTCTCTCTCGCTATATATATATATATATATATATATGTTTGCCTGTGTGTGAACGAGAAGTAAGCGAGGTGAAAAAGGTTTCCTCTTACGTGCCAATCGGGAAGAAGGTTTCCAGTGAGGTCGAGCTCTTCAATACCTGTACAGGGAACATCACACCACCTACAATCCCATCAGATGTGGCGGCAATGCGATGTTAATGTATCTTCTACTAAGTAAGACTTTGCATCAATGTTGATATCAGACGAAAATGGAACGGAGGCTGTCCTGTACTATTTTTCATAAGCGGTGCGAAAAGTATGGTTAAATGTTGTTGTCGATGATAATAGGCAGTTAGTTACTCGGAGCAACATCTCGTATATGCCCCGCTGGGCCTGCACAGCACACGCCTGCATACGTGAGAGCTGCTAATCGCAGAATGCCTAGTTGCCCCTGCCGATCTTCCACTTGCTTTTTGCCGACAAGGAGCACAGGAACCTTTGTCTGTCTTTTCTTACCCGTTGATAACACATACATTTCCTCGTCTGCATAAAATTTCAGAAAGATGTAACATAAGTATCACTGATGAAACACAATGCAACAAATATCGCAGATTAGGTGGATAGTTGAATGAATGTCTGTGTGGTTGCATATATCTACTATTAACCACAACGGAACCTAATTGAGAGTGGTCCTGAAAGTGTACGTCAAAGGAATCAGCCACTTGGATCTTCTGTGAACATGTTAAAACTTATCACAGGAAACTACTACTCCTTGTATGGGTCACACGAATTTTTGATTTGGGAGATAAACAAACCTGGCTCGTCTTTTCTATTACTGCTTGCTCTGTATTTCGAGGTCAAAGCATCCAGCAACGATACTCCCGTGCTGAGTGTGTGAGGCCGCACAAAGGAGCCGGACTTCTCTCCAACTGTGTCGAAATAACGCACTCCGTCCACCACGCCGTTGTGGCGACCTTGGCCGCTGTCCCAGTCCACCCCAACCCAGATGCCCTTGAACCCATTCACGATACCAACGAACTTCACGCTTCCTAACTGAGGGCCCTTCTCTGTGTTCAAGGAGGAAACTCGCTGCCCTAACTTCAACTGCTGCCTTGCAATTTCACAGACCCTCGCATCCGCAACTTCGCCACCCGTCATGGTCGACTGGAGGCACATGTGGCATCAACATAATCGAAGGAGGGTGAGTTGTGCTGCTGAAAACCATGTGCCGAAAAATCATAGAAAGTGTTATGAGCATATTATTTGCAATCGATCCCGAGAAGGTCGTCACATTGTTTCTTAAGTTGGACAACGGTGCATCGTTTCATGTGTTCCACAATGAATGAGACCTTACAAACCCAAATTGAAAAGCCCACCCCTGTCTAAGCGGGACTTGAATGAAATCCAGGCCAAGGATTGAGCTTTTGTAGATGCCCAGCTGCAACTTCAAACAGCATCAGCTCATTTCACCACTGCGACAATTCCATATTGCGCATCACATGTCCTCGTTCGAGAGGTTGTTCTCAGCAGCAGCAAATCCGCCTCCCACAAAAAGTCAACTTCAAACTTCACAGCTATTCTCCCAGATTCAACAATCCATTGCAACCGAAGGAACTGAGAATCTGACTTCCATGAGACCAGCATTGTTGAGAGGACGTTGCTGGGCACTGAGAAAGAATGCCTGGTGGGGCACTTCGGGCCTCTCTTGCACACAGAGATGTGCGCAAAACGTCGAAAGCCGGAGCATTCGTGACGGGAGGAAGAGGGAGGCGGAAGGAGGAGCTGCGGCACCAGGATCAATTCAGCCCCACAAACTGCAGTGCAACCTGCAGTCCAGGAGGCTCAAACGGGTACACATTCGAATAACTACCGTAGGCCTGGGTTCCTGTGTCGACGTTCCTCCTCCTCAGCGGGACGAATTCCTCTTTCCAACTAGTACTTGCAGTTGTGTGCTTCCGATCCACATGTGCACAATTCATGCCATTGCGTTGCGTTGCGGTGCTGCAGCGGCCGCAACATCAACCCCAGCGCCGTTCGGCGGTGGGAATAGAACCCACGCGGCGATGGGTACCACGTGTGGAGGTGACCGTGTGTCGTCTCTCTCCGTGGGCTCTTGGTCGTTGTTAGTGGGTGCCGTTATGAGATGGCATCAGAGTATGGGGAGTTCATTGTATCCAAAATTCATAATTGTGATAAATCCGTGGTATGATAATAATTTTGTTGAATAGGTACCTCGTTTCTAAGATAAAGGAACAGATTTTCATACGCCATTTATGCACTAAACCATTGTTTGCCATTGTGAGGAAAAGGATCTGCATAGACAGTTCATAGGATCTCAATTTGGAAAATAGTCTTCTACATCTTTTGTATATAAAGTGTACAGTGCTTTTGAATACAATAATTCATGGTTTACTCTTTTTTATCTTTAAATATAAAGTATTATTATTATTATTATTATTATTATATTTTTCACATTAATACCTTAAATCTTTTATGGATCCAATTTAATCAATAAATATATTAATATACCATTTCAAATTAATTGTATAATAATATATTTTAAAATTTTATATCATTAAAAATTAGTCACAAGATAAAATTAGTCACAAGATAAGAAACACATCAAAATTTGAATTAATTTAAAATTGGTCTAGAAAAGATTGAAGTATTGTTTGTCTTATAAATACAAGTGATGGCATGGATGTGAAATATGAAGAAAGCCTATTATATTATCTATTAATAGAATTAATGAGATTCTATATATCAATTTGTTAATTTTTTTTTTTTTTTTTTTTTTTTTTTTTTTTTTTTTTTGCTACATTAGTAGAGACAAGTATTAGATGCATAAACACAAAATCTAATTATGTTCTAAGTTTCTCTGCTATATATTATAGTTGATTAATCTTATTTTTTTTTGTTTTATTTTGTTTTGTTTTGTTTTGTTTTTTTTTTTGTTTTTTTCAAACCTACTTAAATTGAGATTGTTTATTTGATTTATTATTTTCGTTTTCTTTGAAGCTTTCTATTTTTTAAGGCTATGAAGAAAAAAACTCAAAAAAAAGTAAATAAATAAGTGAGATGTTTTTTTTAAGAGAGATAAAAAAAATGTAAAAAAAAAAGAAGTATATTTAAGAAGGAATTATAATGATTGTTGTCAAAGATTATGAAACTAGAGATCCTTGAAACTGGACTAAAAGCAAGAAAAGAATTGACAAGATTGAAGAAGGCATCATTTTTTTCCTCTATGTATGCTACGTAACTAAAAAATACATAACAATATTTTATAGGACCTCCAACACATGCCTAATTTACAAGACATATGTTTAATTTGTAAGATAATTTCCTATATGTGCACATAGCCAAGTTATAGACCAAGTGTTTAACCTACTATTTACCAATAGATACATATAAAGTCAATCTACATCTATTAAGCTTCTAAAAAGCTTGTTTATAAGATAATACATAATTTACTTATATTTAGTGATTTCTACTTAATTCTTTTTGTTTAGATAATTCCTAGTGTTGATTATGTTTGTGATAATCATCTCCTTTGTAGAGATGACTTCCATGAGAAGTAGTTGAAACAGGACCAAACTATCTCAAATACCTAAGATTCTTTTAATCCATAGCAACATAAAGACTCATTACAAAATAGGACAAAACAAACCAAAACAAAACTAAACGGAATTAAATATAATAGGACATGAAAGATAAAATCGAGCAAAAAAAAAATAGAACAAAACAAAACAGAACTGAATACAAAGATGCAAAACCAAATTTTACTAAGAGAAAAGATCTAGAGTCATATCTAACCAAATGCTCCAAAAGGCTCTAGCCAATCCTATTTATATCTTATACTACCACCTTGGACTTTCTAGAATGTTTTTAGGTGGTGGATCCTACTTAGATAAGTACCTTAAACTTATTTTCTAGAAAGTCCCATAATAGGACTTATCTAAACAACCACCCTAAACTCTTTCTAGAATGTTACATAGAAGATCCTACTTGGTCTACTAACCTAATCTCAATTCTAGAAACTTCCATGGTTCTGACTATCTATATAATTATCTTATCTATATCCTATTATAATTAATCCAACTCTACTAATGTGAAACACCATCTTTTTGCTCCCAATGGTATTTCCAAGCTATCTTTTGGCAATGAGTGAGGTTTTTTGAAAGTTCCCACATTGCATCATGAATAGGATAACCTTTCTAAAGAACTTTGTAGTGAAGTTGTGGACGTCTATTGCCACAACAAAGGTAGCGATGCTCCAAAATGTTGTCTACTTCATATTCTTGTTGGTCATCAACTACAACTAATAGTGGTGGTGATTGGTGTTGATCTGAAAAGCACTTTGGCTTGGTATGAAATTTCTTAAGTTACAAAAATATGTAAGATTGGATGGACTTGAATATGTGGCAAAAGCTCGAGACAATATGCAACATCAAAAATCATTATAGAAATGTAGAAAGGTCCAAGCCATCGAGGTGCTAATTTATGGATTTAGATTGATGTAGCAAGTAGTAAATTGGCATTGAAGAGTAATACTTTATCACCCTCTTAAAAGTTTTTGTATTGGCGATGATTATCCACATACTACTTATGTTAATTCTGTGTAGTAAGGAGGTAGTGCCATACTTCTTCTAAGGCCATTATAAGCCATTGTAAAATTTCTCTATTGTCGAGTTATTGGTATCAATAGAATGATAGAAAGTTGCTGACGTAATTAGATATTAATCGATATTAAGGAAAAATGGTGAATGATCGATACTTGCTTAGAAATTATCATTCTAAGAAAACTCCAAAGATATCAAGTATTCATTCTAATCATTATGATGAACCACCACAAATGCCTACAACATATCCTCCAAGGTCCAATTTGCATGCTTTGTTTGTCTATCTGTTTAAGGTTAAAAGTTTGTAAACATGGCAAGTCATGTGTCTAGTAGCTTAAAAAAAACTTACCAAAAACTTCTCGTGAAGCGTGGATCTTGATCTAAAATGATAACATGAGATAATTTATGGTGACAAAAGACATTATCAAAGTAGACTCATCTAAGCGTTGAGACATCTATATTGAAGTGCACTGCAACCAAGTAAAGTTGCTTTAAGAATTGATTTACAAAGATGATAATTGTAATATGATTATGATGCATCGGCAGTAAATACATAATGAGATCCATAGTCACTTCCTTTTAATATATCATAGGTAGCAAAATTAGCTATAATAATTTAAGAAATATTGTGTGATGTGCTTATATTGACATGATTCATAGGAGCATACAAAGGCTCAAATAATACGATCCAAACTTATCCAAAATCATGTCCTTGAGATTTGTTCAATAGCCTTCTCTCATCTTAGATGTCCAAATATTGGGATGTCATGTCCTTCTTGAAGTATGTACATCTAAAGTTTAATATTATCTGGTATATAAATTCGCTTCTTGAAATAAAGCAAGCCATCAATAACAGAGTAATCTTCATATTGTATATCACCTATCTTCAATTAATTTCTAACTATCTTCAAATAAGCATTTTGATGCGTATCTTCCTTCCATTCTACCTCTTTGATTAGATCTAAAATAATACTACTAATGGTAGCAATTTCTATCTTATCTCTCAATTTGTCTTTTAAGTCTACTCTTCGCAATAAGTTGTTTAGCATAGTATGTTGTTGCCCTTGCTTATACTCAATTGGATATCAAAAAGTTGCTATCAAAGACATGAATCTTGAAGAAAGACATATAGATTTTGCTTTAAGGAGGGTTTTTATGGAAGAAACCAAAGAAAGGAATTGAGATGCTACAATAAGTGATAAAAAAATAAAGAAAAAAAATAAAAACTACTAAAAGGATTTCATGGTAGTTTGTTGGTAGAACATAAGAAAATTTGAGCTACTTTTGTTAAACTCAAAGAATAATATTGATAAAAAAATATATATTGAGGTGTGCTTTTATTTATAAAATCATGTGAAACTTATGAAGCATATTCTAATATATGACATCAAAATGGCTTATATATAATATATCCTTTAACTATTAATTTTAAATGGATTATTGATTTGATTATTGTACTAATTGGATTATGACAAATGAGATATTTGTTCTACACTTGTTAAGATTTATCAAACCAAGTAGAAGGTAGAGCATTGAGAACAAAGTCTACAAAAGAGATTTGTAGATTTTTGCTTGAAGATGTTTTTTGGTGCTATGGATGTATAAAAAAAAATCAATGCAGGTCATGAAGAATTAAATGTACAAAAAGCTAGTAAATTCTTTAAGATATGTGGAATTAAATTATTATTGATTACTGCTTATAATCTTGAAGGAAATATGAAAAGTGAATGTAATAATCTGTCAATTATAAAAGTATTAATTAAAGCTTATAATGGAAAGGTAAAAAAATGGCATCAACTTTTGTTATTTACATTATAGATTGATCATCCAACTCATAGTTCAATAATAGAATATATGCCTATTGAGCTCATGATA